TTTCTACCAAGTCCTAACAGTTCCTAACGATTTATCCACCAAGTCCTAACAGTTCCAAACGATTTATCCACCAAGTCCTAACAGTTCCTAACGATTCATCTACCAAGTCTTAACGATTTATCCACCAAATCCTAACAGTTTCTACCAAGTCCTAACAGTTCCTAACGATTTATCCACCAATTCCTAACAGTTCCTAACAAATTATCCACCAAGTCCTAACAGTTCCTAACGATTCATCTAACAGTTCCTAACGATTCGTCCACCAAGTCCTAACAGTTCCTAACGATTTATCTACCAAGTCCTAACAGTTCCTAATTATTTTTCAAACAGGTCCTAAAAGTTCCTAACGATTTATCCACCAAGTCCTAACAGTTCCTAACGATTTATCTACCAAGTCCTAACAGTTCCTAATTATTTTTCAAACAAGTCCTAACAGTTCCTAACGATTCATCTACCAAGTCCTAACAGTTCCTAACGATTTATCCACCAAGTCCTAACAGTTCCTAACGATTCATCTACCAAGTCCTAAAAGTTCCTAACGATTTATCCACCAATTCCTAACAGTTCCTAACGATTCATCCACCAAGTCCTAACAGTTTCAAGCGATATACCCACCAAGTCCTAACAGTTCCTTATGATATGCACGTTTTACTGCACTATTACTACACTGTCTGACAACTTGTTAGCTTCAGATTGACATCACGTGTTCTGTATTCCACACAGCTATAATGAAAGATGTGTTGTCGTGGCGAGTGGTTAAGGCGATGGACTTGAAATCCATTGGGGTTTCCCCACGTAGGTTCGAATCCTGCCGACAACGCGTAATGTTGTTTACACACATCTATAAATTACTCTGACAGTAATCTATGTTTCACAGACATTTCTATATGTGAGCATAAAAACACAGAAGAAAGATGCTAGCCTGATTTCAGCTCTTAGTATGTGGGTGTTTTTATGTAACTGTGAATCTCTCAGATCAATTTGAGAAGAGCCTATGAGAACCAAGTCCTAACAGTTCCTAACGATTCATCTACCAAGCCCTAACAGTTCCTAACGATTCATCTACCAAGTCCTAACAGTTCCTAACGATTCATCTACCAAGCCCTAAAAGTTCCTAACGATTTATCCACCAAGTCCTAACAGTTCCTAACGATTCATCTAACAGTTCCTAACGATTCATCAACCAAGTCCTAAAAGTTCCTAACGATTTATCCACCAAGTCCTAACAGTTCCTAATGATTCATCTACCAAGCCCTAAAAGTTCCTAATGATTTATCCACCAAGTCCTAACAGTTCCTAACGATTTATCCACCAAGTCCTAACAGTTCCTAACGATTCATCTACCAAGTCCTAACAGTTCCTAACGATTTATCCACCAAGTCCTAACAGTTCCTAATTATTTTTCAAACAAAGACACACAATGAGGAAATACGTGTTGTCGTGGCCGAGTGGTTAAGGCGATGGACTAGAAATCCATTGGGGTGTCCCCGCGCAGGTTCGAATCCTGCCGACAACGAGCATATGTTTACACACCTCCAGCAATAACTCTCACAGTAATTGTGTTTCATACACATTTCTACATGTGAGCATAAAAACACAGAAGAAAGATGCTAGGCTGATATCAGCTCTTAGTATGTGAGTGTTTTTATGTAACTGTGAATCTCTCAGATCAATTTGAGAAGAGCTTATGAGAACCAAGTCCTAACAGTTCCTAACGATTCATCCACCAAGCCCTAAAAGTTCCTAATGATTTATCCACCAAGTCCTAACAGTTCCTAACGATTTATCCACCAAGTCCTAACAGTTCCTAACGATTCATCTACCAAGCCCTAACAGTTCCTAACGATTCATCTACCAAGTCCTAACAGTTCCTAACGATTCATCTACCAAGCCCTAAAAGTTCCTAACGATTTATCCACCAAGTCCTAACAGTTCCTAACGATTCATCTAACAGTTCCTAACGATTCATCTACCAAGTCCTAACAGTTCCTAACGATTTATCCACCAAGTCCTAACAGTTCCTAACGATTCATCTACCAAGTCCTAACAGTTCCTAACGATTTATCCACCAAGTCCTAACAGTTCCTAACGATTCATCTACCAAGTCCTAACAGTTCCTAACGATTTATCCACCAAGTCCTAACAGTTCCTAACAAATTATCCACCAAGTCCTAACAGTTCCTAACGATTTATCCACCAAATCCTAACAGTTCCTAACGATTCATCTACCAAGTCCTAACGATTTATCCACCAAGTCCTAACAGTTTCAAGCAATTTACCCACCAAGTCCTAACAGTTCCTAACGATTCATCCACCAAGCCCTAAAAGTTCCTAACGATTTATCCACCAAGTCCTAACAGTTCCTAACGATTCATCTACCAAGTCCTAACAGTTCCTAACGATTCATCTACCAAGCCCTAAAAGTTCCTAACGATTTATCCACCAAGTCCTAACAGTTCCTAACGATTCATCTAACAGTTCCTAACGATTCGTCTACCAAGTCCTAACAGTTCCTAACGATTCATCCACCAAGTCCTAACAGTTCCTAACGATTCATCTACCAAGCCCTAAAAGTTCCTAATGATTTATCCACCAAGTCCTAACAGTTCCTAACGATTTATCCACCAAGTCCTAACAGTTCCTAACGATTCATCTACCAAGTCCTAACAGTTCCTAACGATTTATCCACCAAGTCCTAACAGTTCCTAACGATTTATCCACCAAGTCCTAACAGTTCCTAACGATTCATCTACCAAGTCCTAACAGTTCCTAACGATTTATCCACCAAGTCCTAACAGTTCCTAACGATTTATCCACCAAGTCCTAACAGTTCCTAACGATTCATCTACCAAGTCCTAAAAGTTTCAAGCAATTTACCCACCAATTCCTAACAGTTCCTAACGATTTATCCACCAAGTCCTAACAGTTTCAAGCAATTTACCCACCAAGTCCTAACAGTTCCTAACGATTCATCTACCAAGTCCTAACAGTTCCTAATGATTTATCCACCAAGTCCTAACAGTTCCTAATGATTTATCCACCAAGTCCTAAAAGTTTCTAACGATTTATCCACCAAGTCCTAACAGTTCCTAACGATTCATCTACCAAGTCCTAACAGTTCCTAATTATTTTTCAAACAAGTCCTAACAGTTCCTAACGATTTATCCACCAAGTCCTAACAGTTTCAAGCAATTTACCCACCAAGTCCTAACAGTTCCTAACGATTCATCTACCAAGTCCTAACAGTTCCTAATGATTTATCCACCAAGTCCTAACAGTTCCTAATGATTCATCTACCAAGTCCTAACAGTTCCTAACGATTTATCCACCATGTCCTAACAGTTTCAAGCAATTTACCCACCAAGTCCTAACAGTTCCTTATGATATGCACATTTTACTGCACTATTTGTCTGACAACTTTTTAGCTTCAGATTGACAGCACGTATGTCAATACGTTCTGTATTCCACACAGCAATGATGAAATCCGTGTTGTCGTGGCCGAGTGGCGATGGACTGAAATCCATTGGGGTTTCCCCGTGCATGTTCGAATCCTGCCGACAACGAGTATATATTTACTCACCTCCGGCAATTACTCTCACAGTAATTGTGTTTCATAGACATTTCTACATGTGAGCAAAAAAACACAGAAGAAAGATGCTAAGCTGATTTCAGCTCTTAGTATGTGTGTGTTTTTATGTAACTGTGGATCTTTCAGATCAATTTGAGAAGAGCCTATGATCATGTTTTATCTTGTCTGGTGCAGTGTGGGGGTTTTCGAATGCTGCTTGAACATTTACAGTCTAACAAAGTCAGATAAAATATATCATTTTACTGCAGAACAAGTACTGCTAACATGAGCTAACTAGCAACAACGCAATGTACAGCTGAGGCTGATGGCAATGTCAACAGTTCGGTAGGTATTTGGTCATAAAGTAAAGCATTGGACACATTAACATGTTGAACTGATGATGGTACTGTGAAAAGTCAGTTCATCCTGAGAGGAACATGAATGTCTGAACCACATTCCATCTCAATCAATGCAACAGCTGCTGAGATGTTTCAGTACAATACAAATATTAACCTCATGGTGGCGCTAGAGGAGGAGTCAGTATGATTCATCCTCTGGGGAACATGAAGGTCTGTACAACGCACAAAGTAGTTGAGACATTTCAGGGTGAATCAAAGTGGTGTCCCAATCAACCAACACATTCTAACTCCCAACTCGTCATATATTGTTGGTTGGTCAAGACATCTTGGTGTCGCCTTTTAACGCCCTGGGTACCCTTTAGCATTGTTTTTGCATGTGTAGGGCTCTGCAGTCTAGTTAGCAGGAATAATATGCAACGTCTGGTTAGACTTTCAAAACAAAACAAGTTGTTCACCTTGTCAAATGTCGCAGTATTGTTAGCTACTTGGTTACGTTAAGGAAAAGATCATGGCTGAGTTGATAATGATGCACTGTACATTTGTTTTGTTTCATTGCAGACAGACTGACTGCCTCCATGACTGACTGTTGCATGTGGCTGACACTTTATCTCCTCGGTCTGGCTCAGTAAACCACGCTATGTAAGTCTTCATCAGTCTCCAAAACTTCTTCATCACACCTGAACCTGGCTCACAACTATTCTTGAACACTTTAGTGTTCAAAAATGTTACTACAGGCCTTCCCTCAGTGCTTTCAACTATGACGCTAATAAGCGACGACTGTGAGTATGAACGTGTTGAACTAAGCTACATTGCCACCCTCAGAGCTGGTAGCATGGCTGGAATAAAGTAACTTAAAGAATGTGAGTAACATTCAGATCTATCAAAATTGAGCATATAGCACAACTGTTCTCTGACATGCAAACTATATTCCCCAAACATTTTCGGACCTCATGTCTTTAGAGTGTCATCTTGAGTTGTGCAACATGTTATATTTTGATGGACGTGTAGTGAAGCTCCCGCTGGTGTGCACACCTCACTGTGTTAGACATCAGAAGTAAAGAGACTGTTTGTACCTGTTAGTGAGAGGGCCAACAAACGGGTTGATGAGCAGCTGGACGAGAGCTTTAGAGGCAAACAACAAACCAACACGAACATTTTCCTCCTCCAGAAACGAACTGTCCTGAAGACAGGAGGACTCCTGCAAGAGGGAGGAGAACATATTATGTCACCTGTAATGACTGATCGGTCCTTGTCAGGTAAATGTTAGCCTCCACCTACTGTAGCATTAGTAGTCTCGTTGATCTGTAGGTCTGTGACCCAGCTGGTCTGGTCTGTCGGCTCGGTGCCAGAGGTTGGTTCAGTCCGGATCTCCTGCAGACTGAAGGTTGTGTTGTCGAACAGAGACACCAGAGGAGAGAAGGTGGGAGGAGACGGCCGGGGGCTCTGCTCTGACTGTGTACCCAGGACTGGTGCACTATAGCTGGGCTGAGGGCGGGGGGTCTGGATGTTTAACCTGGGGGAGGGCACTGTGCCAAAGCGTGGTGCACTGAGGCTGGGCAGAGAGAGCATGGAAGGCTGGGCAGTCTGGGGCTCTGGACTTGGATGCTCAATGGCGTAGAGGAACGTCGGGATGATCGGCACTGGATGAAGAAGATTAATCTATTGATTCCCTCACTGGTGGCTTGATTACAATAAAGTTAACAACATAAACATATTTACATTGTGAACAAATTTGTCTTTACAAGCCAGTTTGTAAACAGTGTCTCTGGGAACGAGGATGTTTCAGTCAACTTGTGGTTCAAACCTTTGTTACAGGAAGAACGATGGAAATACGAACCCACTGGATGGGAGGTGATCTTCCTTGCACCTTCCATCCAGTTGGTTCTTCTTGCACACTGCCTTATATACCGGGAGTATTGCACCTTTTTGCCGGCTCGCTGCGCAGTATAAAAGGTATGGAGCCGAAAAGACGGGCAATATTTGATCCGCCTCTGAGCAGGGAACGTTGTTAGTGACAGAGACGGAACACCAGCCTGCCGGTTGTGGGATTATGCCGGAAAGTTTCTTCAGTATGATAAATACAGTACAGCAAATGCTGCATATAAGCAGACATTCTCTCTGCGTTTACTGTGGGATGTCTGTATGAAAGCGGCTGTAGTCTCACTGCAGGAATTTAACCTGTAACCTGGGCCTTCCCATGAACTGAAGAACCTTTGGTGCTAAATTCTGCCTTGTGTGTGTGAGGTATTTTTTAACACACTACGCCTACAGTTGTTTGACAGACATTATGGAAGAAGTTGCTTTAGTCAGTCAGAGGAGTGAGAGAGGAGTCTGCAGGATGTAAAGCAGTCATTTTTCTTTTAGAGAAAGTATAATATGGTCTGAGTGCTGCTCTGCCACTTTGTGGAAAACACAGCTGATGACTGGAAATGTTGAGGGTTTAGCTCAACACACATTCTGCTTTGTTAATATTGTGTTGCGTCTATAAACAAGCTGGTGCACACCCACAAGTATACATGCACAATTTACCAGCATATGCTTTCAAACAATGCTAAGTTAGATGTGATTGACCAGCCGCAGTGAGCAGTTGGATCTTGGCTTTCGCATCATCTCCTGAGCAGAACCCGCATTTTTCTAAATCAGGGATTCATCCATAAACCAGAGGAAAACTTTAAGAGCAGCTGAGTGACTGAAATGTGCAACACATTCTCACTCCCAACCATCTGCCTAACTATCTGGATAGAATCTCAAAATAAAACTAGCGGTTAACATTGTGAACCATCATAATTTGGTTAGGTTTAGAAAAAGATTGTGGTTTGGGTTAAAAGAAGTACGTGACTCGTGTGTAGTTAGGTTACGTTACTCACTCTTAATACAACCTGAAGCTTGACCATGCGTCCCTATGTAATGACCCCGGAGTAAGAACGGGTTTAAATGTCAGAATTTGTTGAGATGAATGATTCATCATAACAGGAGTGAAAATAAACTTAAATGAGATGAGTTTACTTTCAGAACAATCAGTGTGTTTCAAGGTATTTGGATATTTTTGATAGCAGTAAAGTGATCTGTAAAACGTCTATTAGCTCCACCTGCAAAAAATGCTCATTATTTCAGATGAAGATGAAAGAAATATGACAAAATATGAGACTAGAAGTTAAGGTTGATGGTTTAATGGCTTTCTTATACAGGTTGGTGATTTCCTAACAATGTCCAAATAGTCTTGAAAATAATTATTTAACTTAGTGCTAATTATGGGTTAAAACTGTGCACCAGTTGAACACTGTCTCAGTTTCCCCTTTAATTCATACCAAATGACAGCATTATGTACTGGAAGCTTCTGGGAAATTATTAGCAAATTACAGACTTATTTGGCTTCTAAATATTTATTTTATATCCAAAGGAAGCGGATTAGTGAGACAAGATTTATTCATTCATTCATTAGAGAGGAAAAAAATGACTGAAATAAGCTAAAAAACAGCAGATAAGCACATCAGAGGAGAAAAGATCAGAGAAAAGGGGAGGAGATTTAATCTGAGAAGAGACCGAAGGAGACAACTGTGAACTGAGACTGCAGGCTTTAAAGTTCGAGGTCAGCAGGTCGTGTGCGTGGTTGACCTCTACATTCAGCTGTGAGTCTAACTGCAAACGACAGCTTTGACCTCCAGGTTTTTAGTTGCGTCACTAATCTGTTTCTGAGACTTCAAGAAGGAAGAACAGAAGAGGACGATGGGTTAATGAATAAACTCTGAATCAAGAGGGAACCTCCGGGTCTGAAAAGAGCCTTAAACCTGCGTCCTCTCTAGCAGCCAGCAGCGGCTGCAGAAAGAAGTGTGATTGTATAGAAGACTCTGAGAAAATGTTTCTTCTTCTCAGCTGATTTATTCCCTCAGTAAACACTTTCCTGATGAGTTTATGTTCTCAGTTGCTAGTTTCAAGTCTTCTTCAACACAGCGTGATGTTCATTTAGTAAATTATGGTCCCATTTAGAGGAACAGAGACCAGGAAGCAGGGAAGGCTTTAGGGCGGGGCTACAAGCTGATTGACAAGTCAAGACCCCTTGGCGAAACTTTTTAACAACCCTGGGTACTCTTTAGCATCATTTTGGGTGTGTAGGGCTCCGCGATCAAGTTTGCAAGAATAAATCTGCAATGTCCGGATAGTCTTTGAAGAGCAATTTGGTAAGGCATAGACGAAGATCAAGGTGTGGGTTAAAATAAAGTTACTTATGTGATTTATCTCCAATCGATGTTGACATTTTGTTTCATAAGGGAAACAAACAGCAGTCTCTTGGATGAAAGATCGGTTTCTGGCCCACCCCATCCATCTCCTTACTTACTTTTGTATTAAATATCCTGCAGCGTTCATAAATTAGGGGCTTGGCCCAGTGCATTACAAACTGACGCCAACGGGTCTTGACCATGTGTCCATATGTGACAACTCGGGAATGAGAATTTCTTGGTCGTTCAGGATAGAAGCGACTCGTATCCGTACAGGCTTAGGTGTGAACACACCACACGGCCAAATGTATGTGGACACCATGTCTAACAGTGACTCTGTGTTCATTAACCTGCTGCACCTTTTCCTCCAGATGTTGAAGCAGCTGCAGGGATTAAATCTGTTAAAACCATGTATCTCTAAAACATCAGTGTTTAAGAACTTTTCAGCTTCATGACTCTGTGTGGCTTTTTTGAAGATAAACTTTAGGTTTTTAACGGTTCATTTATCCCATAAAGAAACTTCTCAAACCAGCAAATTTGGAGATACATGTGTTTCAGTGGGCAGTCTTCCAAACTACTAAATATAGATTTTATTTCTGATCTGACAACAGGATGGCGTTTGTTTCTAATTGGACGCCTCTGTGGAGAAGGTCCAGATTTGAGTTTGGTTTCAGGTTCAAGCCTTCAGCTTCAGACTCTGATGATCTGCCAGGCTGGCTGTGTTATTGCTGTATTGTCCATTTATTGTGTGTTTGTGTACTCACCAACCACAGTGAGCAGCATGTTGTCGAGCAGCAGAGCGACACACACCACCACCAGGACGAGTCTGGGAGAACCTCGACTCTGATGGAGCCACGCCATGTCTACACAAACCCACAAACAGTTTGTTTTTAGCATTTCTCATGTTTTGCAAGTTGCAAGTTGGTTTTGTCTGCAGCTACAGATGATCCGCACTGACCCTCATCTCTACAAATATTACACAAAATACTACAGATAACCATGAAAGACGCAGATATTATTTTATTAAAGCAAAAAATATAATAATTTCAAATAGCTTAACACATTTAAATGTACGCGTACTGTGGTTTAAGTATGCAGGTATAATGTTCACCATCTTAAGGGGCTTTCACACCTGAAAGTACGAACAAAGGTCCGAACCAGAGTTCATCTTTTGATACATGAAATGACTTGACATGACAGGACTTGCGTCATCATCCATGTGGGCTGCGTCTCCCTATACCTACTTGACATTGATTGGTTGAACAGTTCCACGGGGAGCTTTGACCAGAATGAATGAATGAATGAGGAATGTACAGATGTCGTTCTGCAGCACCAACTTAACTCGCAACACATTCTCATCTCAGTGCCAATTAAACGTTGGGCAAACATCAGGCCTATATCGTCGGCGGTGTTTCAGAATAACACCGGCAGGAAAGTGGTGGTGGTGGACCAGTGGATAAGACACATACCTTTGTGAGAGACCTGAGTTCAAGTCCACTGTGACACACCAATGTGTTCCTGAGCAAGACACTTAACCCCTCGTTGCTCCAGAGTTGTGCGACCTCTGACATATATAGCAATTGGAAGTCGCTTTGGATAAAAGTGTCAGCTAAATTAATGATTATTGTTATTAAGACTGCCAGCAATCCGTCTGCACCTGCGTTTGAGGAGAGACCATAATTGGGTCCTTTTTTCAATGCATTTCTCCGTGCATTCGTTTGTTTCTGGTTTACACGGGAACCACCGACTTCCTGTGAATAGTCTGAAAGTCTGACACTAAAAACAAACCGAAACCATGGTTCAGTTTGATCCGGACCGAGACTACCTCTTTTTATCGGACCAAATTTCATCCGTTTGGTCCGGACCAGGGTCCAGGGGAGGTTTCACACCTGTAATTTTGGTCCGGATCAACAGAAAAATCTGAAAATCCGGACCAAATGAGGTAGGTGTGAAAGCCCCCTTAGTTTAGTGTGTAGCACAGACAGTTCTCATCTCAGGGCGTCCAATACCAATGCTTTCAGAAAAAGTGACAAAATGTTGTTATTTAAAGCACCGGGTGCGTCTCGCTTCCAGATGTGTCTGTATGAAACGCTCTGGGACATCTCGTACAGACCGGAAGTACCAGCTAGCTAGCTACGTTCGTGTTAAAGGTGTTGACAGCCACCCGAAGCCCCCCTACCCTTACCACAACCATCAGAAATTTACCTAAACCTAAGTCACTGACTTTATGCATGTTTAATGAGTCTTTTGTGTTGCTGGGACGTAGCAAACGATGGCGTTTCATACGGAAAATACTTATGCTTTGTCACGCTGTATGAAAGCGTCAGTTTTGACGCATCGAGATGAGAACGTGTTGGTTAGCATTAGCTAACATTCAGTCAGAGGGGACATTTTACTGTAGAACAAGTACAGCTTACATTACGTTATCAGCAGTAAACAGCTGAGGCTGATGGGAATGTCATTAGTTCTGCTGGTATTTGGTCATGTTAAAATTTAACATAACATGTTATAACATAAATAGACTTGATATTAATTATTTGTTTTGTAGGTTTCTTTGCTGAACCCTGTTTTTACCTGCTACGACCTCATTTCCTCTCTGGATCAAACTGATTTTATGTGATTAAACAGTTGAATATTCTCTGATTCACGGTCAGCATGAGGACTGCTGCTCAGTAAAAGGCGCCCGATGGAGAAATGTTTTAATACGCTCGTCCCTGTTTTGTTGGTATCACACGAGGATGAAGGTCAAACACGTTCCTGCTGCTGCCCACTGATTGGTGGAGGTAAAGGTAATGCGTCAACAATGGCAGAGAATCAAGAAACAAGGTTTTGGCTCAGTGAAACACACGGTGTGTTCTGGTGAGAATGTAAACAGAAACATTTGCATTCATATTAACCAACAAACAGACGTTCCAGCTGTAAAAGATGTGTTTGTTATTTAGCTTCATGATGTTTCTGTGCTGCACTAAAGAACCTGAGAGCTCCTTCATATCACAGCTGATCTTTAATAAAACAGATATTAGTCTGAGTCGGCACAATCGTTGGTTCAATCGAATGGTTTCATTTTCAGCGCTCCGTTTTAGCTAACAAGTGAAGCGTCTCACTTCTATTCAATCTTTGTTGAGAGTTGCACATGTGCAGTACCCGGGTGGGGCGGCTCCCGACAAGCAAGGTAACCACGGCTTCGTTTCAGCCGAAACACGGGTTTCAGAACCTGGTCTGGAGCGAACCGTTTCAGAGAGGCGAGTTATTAATCTGTAACACATTTATCTTTCATAGCGTTTTAACTGAGCTCTGTCTCCACATCACAGGAACAGCTTCATGTCCTCCGACCTTATTAGCCACGCTAGCCGCTAGGCGAGCATCATGCTGCGTGTTACTTAGTGGCGCAGATTACAGATTACAGATTACAGAGGCTGTGTTCAGTTCAGGAGCAGAGTTTAAAATGCACAAAAAAGAAATATGACCTGTGTGTTTTATCTCGTGCGATCACTGGTCAGGACACAGCGTGGTTAGATTTCTGACTGTCTGTCTGCTCTGACTGCTGATTGGTTTAGAGGCTGTTTCCTGCCTCACTAACACAGTTACCTGACACACACACACACACACACACCGTGTGTTACTATCTCTGTGGGGACGTCTCATTGACATAATGTGTTGGCTAAACTTAAACCTGATTCTTACCCGAACCCTGAAACCAGGTCGTGACCCCCAAAAAGGCCCTTTAAACCTGCAGGGTTCAGCATTGTGGCCTCTACAAAGCTGGTCGGACCCCACAAGCGTAATGGGCTCCTGATTCTGGGCCCCACAAAGTGAGTTAAAGACACACACACCTCCTGTTATTCTCCTATCTCTGTCCATCTTGTTTGTTTCACCCACACCTCCCCCCTCTCTCCCTTTGTCTCCCTCTCTTTCCCTAATTCTGACCGCCCTCTTGCCCCCTACCCCCTCTCTCCATCTCCCCCTTTCTCCTTCTCTCTTTCCCTCCATCTCCCTCTCTCCCTTCCTCACTCTTTCCCTCTTTCCCCCTTTCTCCTTCTCTCTCCCCCTCTCCCTCTCCTTCCCACTCCTTCCCACACCTCCCCCCTCTCCCTCTTTGTCTCCCTCTCTTTTTCTGCCTCTCCCCCCCCCTCTCCCATTTTGTCTCCCTCTCTTTCCCCCTTCCCCTCTACCTCTCTTTTTCTGCCTCCCTCCCTCTTCCTCCCTCTCCTTCCCACACCTCCCCCCTCTCTCCCTCTCTCCCTCTCTCTCTGCCTCTCTCCCCCTTTCTCCTTCTCTCTCCCCCTCTCCCTCTTCCTCCCACCCCCCCTCTCTCACTCTCTCCCTCTCTCTCTGCCTCTCTCCTTCTTTCTCCTTTTCTCTCCCCCCCTCTCCCTCTTCCTCCCACACCTCCCCCCTCTCTCCCTCTCTCCCCCTTTCTCCTTCTCTCTCCCCCTCTCCCTCTTCCTCCCACCCCCCCTCTCTCCCTCTCTCCCTCTCTCTCTGCCTCTCTCCCCCTTTCTCCTTTTCTCTCCCCCCTCTCCCTCTTCCTCCCACCCCCCCCCACTCTCTCCCTCTCTCTCTCTCTCTCTGCCTCTCTCCCCCTTTCTCCTTCTCTCTCCCCCTCTCCCTCTTCCTCCCACCCCCCCTCTCTCCCTCTCTCCCTCTCTCTCTGCCTCTCTCCCCCTTTCTCCTTCTCTCTCCCCCTCTCCCTCTTCCTCCCACCCCCCCTCTCTCACTCTCTCCCCCCTCTCTCCCTCTCTCCCCCTTTCTCCTTCTCTCTCCCCCTCTCCCTCTTCCTCCCACCCCCCCTCTCTCACTCTCTCCCTCTCTCTCTGCCTCTCTCCTCCTTTCTCCTTTTCTCTCCCCCCCTCCCTCTTCCTCCCACACCTCCCCCCTCTCTCCCTCTCTCCCCCTTTCTCCTTCTCTCTCCCCCTCTCCCTCTTCCTCCCACCCCCCCTCTCTCCCTCTCTCCCTCTCTCTCTGCCTCTCTCCCCCTTTCTCCTTTTCTCTCCCCCCTCTCCCTCTTCCTCCCACACCTCCCCCCTCTCTTTGTCTCCCTCTCTCCCTCTTCCTCCCACTCCTTCCCACACCTCCCCCCTCTCTCTCTTTGCCTCCATCTCTCCCTCTTCCTCCCACTCCTTCCCACACCTCCCCCCTCTCCCTCTTTGTCTCCCTCTCTTTCCCCCTTCCCCTCTACCTCTCTTTTTCTGCCTCTCACTCTCTCTACCTCTTTCCCCCTTTCTCCTTCTCCCCCCCTCCCCTCTCCCTCCCACTCCTTCCCACACCTCCCACCTCTCCCTCTTTGTCTCCCTCTTTCCCTCTTCCCCTCTACCTCTCTTTATCTCCCCCTCTCTTTTTCTGCCTCTCACTCTTTCTACCTCTCTCCCCCTTTCTCCATCTCTCCCCCCTCTCCCTCCCACTCCTTCCCACACCTCCCCTCTCTCCCTCTTTGTCTTCCTCTCTTTTTCTCCCTCTCTCTCTCTGCCTCTCTCCCCGTTTCTCCTTCTCTCTCTCCCCCCTCTCCATCTCCCTCCCACTCCTTCCCACACCTCCCCCCTCTCCCTCTTTATCTCCCCCTCTCTTTTTCTGCCTCTCACTCTCTCTACCTCTCTCCCCCTTTCTCCATCTCTCTCCCCACCTCTCCCTCTTTGTCTCCCTCTTTCCCCCTTCCCCTCTACCTCTCTTTTTCTGCCTCTCTCCCCCTTTCTCCCTCCCCCCCCCCCCTTTGTCTCCCTCTCTCCCTCTTCTCTAGTCTCTCTATCACAAGTAAAAAGTAAACGCAGGCTGCAGCTGCTGACAGAGCAACAGGTGACAATCAGTGATCGATACTTGAGCTGAAGCAACATATAATCAATACGCATCTATCTGTCAAACAGCTG